ATGCACAGAGGAAAACACTTTTCAGACACAAGCTCAGGATCTGCTAAGAAAATTTAGGGAGAAAAATTATCCAGAGGATTTCCCGGAGAAGGCCTGGCATGGGGTTATCAATATAACACAAGCAGAACTACTAGACAACAAGAATAGTAGTAGAAATCCCCCAAATGACATGCTAGTATTCATTTATAATACCGAACACAAAGCTATAAGGTGACACATTACCTGACAAACCAGCGATTACTTTTAGGGGAGCACCAAGATTTAAGAATTCCATAGTAAGAAGCTACATAAAGGAGAGACCCAAATGGCCAACTAGTAACCGCTTTGGAGACCTTAAAGGTTTTTACAAGTGTAGAACATGTTTAGGGTGCAAGAATACTAAACAAACTGAAAGGAGGATAATTCACAAATGTCAATCTATTAGAAACAAACGAGAATATGACATTAGGGGAACACATCACATGTCAAAGTAATAATGTGATATATTTGCTACAATGTCCCTGTAAACTACAATATATAGGGAGGACAACACGTCCACTATATAAGAGAATACGGCAACATGTCTATAATATCTGCAAGGGTATCACTAGCCATAGTGTTTCAGACCATTTTAAACATGCACATAATCAGGATCCCTCAGGTTTAGAGTTTATAGGCATAAATTTTTTTTTAAAGATTGTAGAGGAGGGGATTTTATTAGAAAGATTGGGCAGGAAGAAATGAAATGGGTATTTTACATGGAGACGTTAGCCCCTGCTGGTCTTAATATAGACCTTGATCTATTTAATGTTTTATAAATATTTTTTCTTAATCCTTTCATAATATTGGATTTTTTATAAAATCCTTTTTCTTCATATGTCATCTCTCCTTCTTGAAGTCATGTCTTGGAGGGCCTTTGTTCTAATAACACACGTCTTGTGATGCATTTTGGACGATCTTTTTATTGTAACCTTTTGTTAACCTGAGTATGTATATACTTTTTATATTTTTTACCAGTTTTATATTTATTTTTTCTCTCCACTTAACTCTAGGGAAAGAGTGCTAATATAGTTATTTATTTGCACTCTCCAACAACGTTTTATTATACCTTAGCTACCTGATTCACAAAGGACCGTACGTATCTCAAAGGGTAGCATTCTGGAGAGGAATAGTAACCATATGAATAAGCACACACACTCTGACTAATAATCTACGTCAATCTTATATACCAGGTAGACTAATAGTGATTATGCAGTTTGTATGCATTTAGAAGTTATGTCCTTTTAGGGAGAATATATTTCTGTAGTGTATTTGTATATACACTTTCTATGTATATAGCTTTGGACTACCCATTTTGATGTGCCAATTTATCTGCAACTACCTCTATCGGCTGTATTTTGATCCAATTTACAGACTTCTTTGGTAATAATTTTTTTGGAACTTACAAGATGTGTTTAGACAATATGCCTTTTTTATTGATTGTATTTTTATACATGCTTTGAGATTTTATCTTGTTTTTCTTTATTCCTTATGACCTTACTATTTATCATAAGTGGACTTACATAATTACGGTGGATGTATACCACCGATCTGCTAGAGAGCATATAAAAGACGATCATAACAGAACTCACTTATGCTTGAGAAAGCCCAGAGAGGCGGGGCGAAACGCGTAGCACACCGAACCCGGAAGTAACTGCATGTGTACAGAGTCTGCAATCAGCTGGGCATACAGTGGAATAGAACTTGGACAGTTTATCCACTTGAATCCAGGACTTTATCTGATCTACTCCTATATAACTTTCTGTTACTTTCTTTATTTGGAAATAAAGAATATACTTTTTATTTAATCTTTTGGGCCAAGAGTGAGTTCGTGAAGCACATCACATTTGGATCCCATGTCCTCAAGGGGCTGATCCTCCCAGTGCCTGATAGTTTGGAGTGGTACTTCAACCACTCCACAATTGTGAGTTGAATACTTTTGCTTATACTTTTGCTTATACTTTTGTATCAAGCTGCTCCTGAATACAAGCATAAGTGCAAGTATATGTTTGCCTGTTAATACATTCTATCTGACCACTTGGTGTCTTTTACATTCTCTGAATGTTCACTGGTTTTATTTGTATTTTTTTATATATATTTGTGTATGCATATTGGTGAAATTCACACTTATTATATATTCTGCCTAAGTTTTTTATCTCTGACTGCTATTTCCTATTTTGTTTTTCCCACCTACATCTTTGGTTTTATATTTGTTTTCTTGGAGGTTATTTAGATCAGAACTCCTTGAAGGTTGCTGCACTTCTTTATATACCTAGTTTGAACAATATTTAGCTGATTCCCTGTTGCGCCAACTTATTCTGTTTGCATTTTTTTGTAGTATGTCTATCTACTTCTCCATCAATCCTGTTGTATTTTTAAAGTATCTATTCCCTGTCACTTTCCATTCATAACCCAATATTACCAAAATCACTGAAATAGAAGCATAACTCTTCCATCCACAGTGATATACCAATCTGTGTGCAGACTTTTAATTGCCCGCCCTAGTCCTAACCCTAACTTTGACTTCAACCCTAAAAATATCTCTAAACAAAGCCCTTCTCCTGAACAAATCATTAGAATGTGACATTAAGTTTAGACATCGCTGTGAAAGTCTATATAGGGATAACATTTCCTTGGCACTCTCAATGGGGGTGCTCACATTTGCACATAGGGCAAATAAAAAAAACGTTCATGGTAAAATTGGCAGTATGAAGCAATACATCTTTGGCACAACCATGGAACTTCACAACAGCTACACTTCTCTCCACAAATGCATGCCTACATTGCACTGAAACATTTCACCTTTTGACTTCTTCACAGTGTAAAATTTTTCCATAATAAGTACATGTTAAATACTGAACTCAATGTGTTAAAATACATCGACCTGAAACTCCCAATCCAAACAAACACTTGCATGAATCATAATGCCAATCTTATACATTTTGCAGCCTCTACTTCAAAATCACTATAAGCAATGCTAATGTTGTATATGTCACAGCCCCTACTTAACAAACCAATAGACAAGTCACAAAAGCAATTTAAATTGAATGTATACAATCACACATCATGTCTGTGGGAAAAAAGCATCTCTTATGCCAAAGGAGTGATCTGATATGACAAAAAACTTTTCATGACATGAAAAGATATTTGGATGGTTTTATTACCTTATCAGCGTTGGCAGTATGTTTTAAAAACATCAGCTACCCTTCTCCATGGTTCTCTATGGGAAAGCTGGATCTCTCCATTGCTCTGAGCTGTGTCCTTGTTCTGTCAATGTCAAGGATAGACTGGCAGGGACCTCAGCTGTGTTAGCTATGGATAGGATTGCATAGTGACATCACAATGACAATGTGACATCACTGAATCTGATGGAACACTGGGGATGTCATCAAGGCACAGCAGGCAGTGAGGAAGAACATGTTTTTATTTTATTTTATATAAAGCAAGGCAAGGCTTTCTCAAACAGGAAAAATATGAATACTTTAACGACCGGAGACAAGACGAATGAAAGGTAGAGACGTGATTTTTGACTCCGGGGCAACTTGGCCTGTCCCTGAATTACTGGGCTGGAGAAATTAGGGTACTTGGCGCTTTTTTCAGCTGCCATCACTCTGAACAACGTCGCCCAACCAACTCAAACTTAAGCCTTGTTCCCAATCAGACCAGGCTTAATCCCTGTATTTTTTTCCAATACTTTCTTTATTGATTTTTTTTTTTTAGAGCAAAAAAATAAATAAATACAATACTGCATATACATGTAATCACAAATAACTTGGTATTTTAATAAAGTATATTGGGATATATATGCATCGTTCCATGAAATTTTAAAAAAAAGAGCCAGTATAAGAGATGTACCTAAACATACAGTATTAATTACAAACTCTCTCGCCATTAATAAGTCTTCAGAAAAATCATATACACCAACAAATACGGAAAATAAACATATAAACAAATATAAATAACATATAAACAAATAAATAAATAAATGTAAATAAAGCCAAAGGATAGAGGGACTATCAAACCTAAAATTCCATTATCAGTAATGTGCCAATAGGGTTAGAAAAAGAAATAGCCTCAGTTAAATAAGTATCACTGAAAGTTTTTTCCCAGCGGTCACGTAGGCTTTATTTATTTCATATTCCATTTTAAGTTTATATATTAATTGGTTTTCAGCTATTTTCCAATGAAGGCATTTAGAAGATTTCCAGGTTCTGGCAATGACTATATTTGATTCTACTAAACAATAATACCAAAAAAGATATATATCTGAAATTGTGGACCAGTCTATAATCATCAACAAAGCTTCTGCTGGAGTTCTCTACAGTTTGTAAGTTAAGTATTTGTTTAAACATTAAAAAGTGTTGTTGTTTTTTTTTGGGGGGGGGTTTACCATAGTGGCCTAATAAGATTATACAAACACCAGGTGTTTCAAACAGGTACTGATTGTTTCATTGCATCTTGACTATATGTTAGATTGTGTTAGAGAACATCTTTCCTTGTCTAGAGGGCACCAAGTGCCCATCTATTAGAGACTGCATATTGCAATTAAATGAGATCTAAACTATGAATAACCAATGTTGTTTTTTGTAATGATGTGGACCAATCAGAGTTATCTAAAGATAGACCAAATTCATATTCCGAGGTATGCTTTGCTGGGAAAGAAGATTATTATTTTTTTAGAGTATCTAATCAATTCATTGGCTTTAGCCACAATTCTGCTACAGGGATGGTATTTTTAAATGTGAATTTAGAATTTTCTTGTAATAAATATTTAGTAAGGACTGAATTCACTCTAAAGTAGTTCTGAGGTAGGTAAGTAAAATTCCTCCTTTAACAAGCAGAATGACTTAATAGAGCCTGATCCACAAATTTGTTTTAAAAATTCCATCCCTGTTATTTTCCATTTATTTAGTATTAATTAAATATATAAAATTCAAAGATATGTTTTTAATCATGAATGGGAAAGTGTCCGTATGGTGCTACTACCTCCGAAATATGTGGACAATCCCAGATAAAGCAAACAAAGCATATAAATATAATCCTATTAATGAGTTGTGGCGTCTATGGGTGCTGGATGGTTGTGATCGGGGGGATCTGTGTGCAGGCTTGTAGGTGATGGGTTTGTCTAGTGTAGAGGTATTTCTTCTGGTGCTCTCTATGATTTTGCCATCTGGTTGCTCCTTGCTTTGTGTTGTTTCGATCCTCTTGGACCATTTATTTTGTATGTGGGGGTTGAGTGGCGTGTGGAGCTGTGGTGGCTGGGGGACTGGGCTTGCCTTGCCTGCCTTCTGCTTCTGTGTCACTTCTGGTTTGGTGGATCTCCCCTTGCTTCCTTTGACTGTGCTTTTGCAGATCTCTTGGTCCAGCTGTGGATTGGGATTAGCCTTGGTCATTCGAGGAGTGGGAGTGATTCGGACGGGTTCTGTTCTTTAACATGTTTTTTTAATTGACAGGATTAATCGGGGTCCATGTATTGCACGCAGTTTCCTTGGTCTGGTTGACAATGGGTGAGCAGCTGTTTTTCTGGGTGGTCTCCTGCGCAACAGATGGTGAGGCCTGTTTGGGTCACTGATTAGAGTGTTGCTGGGCTTCTGTTGACTTGTGTCAGGTTCCCTGCGTCTCATGTGGCTGGGCTTCGTTCTGTTCTGTCTCTGGTTGTTTGTTTGAGGCTGGATGCTGTGGTTCCAGTTTGTGGATCCCACTATAATGTTCTAACTTTTAAGAAATATTGTTTATAGGGTCGAAGTCCAGAGTAGAACTGGAACTACCCGAACTGTCCGATCCTGACTAGAAATATTTTAACTGGGAAGGGTTTCTATTTTCTAAATATAATTCCATCTAAATTGCTTTCCTTCCACTAATTATAAATACACATCTTACTACACAAATAAAAAAAATATATAAAGAAAAACACAATGCTTATCACAATCTCAAAGAAAATTGTGACTCGCTGTGTATCCTGGAGATGTACAGTAGTCTAAACGAAAATACTTAATAATAGGATATCCCTAAAAGGTGAGTGTTTTACAATACAAATAGGCGTTTTACTTTTATTATTTTTTCACTTATGGGCACTTCACACATATCACGGCATGATAGCTTGCCTTATAGAGTTTTCTAGGTTTAATTTTTGTTTAATCTAGTCTGCTCCACTTTTTGCTTAGAAGTGTATATAGGAAGGGAGAGACTGGTTATTACTATCTGTCACTGCAAATTTGATATGCAGTATATCTCTATTACTATACCATCTACATTCCTTTACCTTCTTATAACTATATACTCTATACTTTATTTATCTGTCTATAGATGTATCATTGAGCATTCTAAGCATCATGACATCTATACCTAATACTCCTTCATTTACTTCCATTAGACATATATAGAGAGACAAGACTCTTCTATCTCTTGAAGTCTTGTATGTATTTTATTTCTTTTTAATTTATTCTCTGATATGTGTATTTTTTGGATTATACCAGCATTACTAACCCAGCACTAATTGATAATTAAATCTTTTGACCTCACTATAGAGGATCCTTTTTGGCAACATTGTATATGTATGTTAATATGGAATGTTTATTGTGCCAAGTAGAGGTAGCACTTTAGAGTATTCTGTTTCTACATGTCTTTTGGTTAATATATTATATTTTATATAGATAGCATTACGGTTACCACTGAGCCAGATATAATAAAGCTCATAGTGGATACTTGATATAATCCAATATCTACATATTTTCCATATATTGTGGAGCATTTAGGCACTTTTTTATTTTTATATTCAATTTTATTTTTATTGTATAACCCTCACCTTTTAGGGATATCCTAATATTATTTAAGTATTTTCGTTTAGACTACTGTACATCTCCAGGATACACAGCGAGTCACAATTTTCTTTGAGATTGTGATAAGCATTGTGTTTTTCTTTGTATATTTTTTTCTCTATTCCCGGGGTTAAGCCCCTTGAGACCCCTGGAGTCTCTTTTTTGGTACTTTAACTGGTTTTTCGCAATTAGGGCACCGATACAAGAAGCTGGTGTTCATTTGCGAATTATCAGTATATATAGGTCTTACTACACAAATAGACTGGAAATTGTACACACACTCATAAAGTGTCAGTAATTCTGGAAAAGTAATATATGATACAAATATTTTTACAAAACTAATCACTCTAGTTAGTCATTCAGCAACATTACTAGATTCTGCTGTTAATTTTATTTTTATAACAGTTGTTAGAATTATCCGCATGCTTTTCAGAGAAAGTATCTGGAGTTTGACCTGTGCAGGTGCACAAAGCTTCTTTCCATAGAGATGAGTTGGCCCAACTTGGCCATCCCACCCTAAAGCTGAGGAACGATGAGACACTTTATTTGATGAGAATGTGTTTACTACTAAAACAGAAATCTTTATCAACTCTGTTAAAACTTTTAGTGTTGGGGCTAGTCTGACCCAGTTCATTCTATTGTGCAATGAGTGTATAGCTTTGGTCTACCTGGCCTATGTCTAAAAATGAGACATATTGGTAGAAGATATGGATTTCTAACTGGTCCAGAATGTATGGAGATATTTTTGCAAATGAAAACTTTGAATCTATTCTTAAAGTGTATTTTATTTTTAGAGTAATGACAAAAGGATCAGTATGTGAGGTTGAGATACATCCCAAACATAAACACTGCTTGTATATGTCCTGGAGGACAGTTGCGTTTATGTGTGTATACCGAGGTACATGTCTACATGTGTATACTCTGGGTACCTGTATGTGTATATGTGTCTGTGTGTATACCTGAGGTCTAATTGAGTATATGTGTGGATACTCATTATATAGATTAAGGTATATGTATGTATGCATGTGTATATGTATGCTGACACTGTCATGTGTGTATTAAAAGCATGTGTCATGTTTATATGTGTCCTTGAGAGAACATAACATGGAAAGGTGTACTCACATGTATACATACCTGAATGTCTTTCACTCTGTATTTGATTTGACCTTTTTCTAGCCAAGGTGATAGCGTAAAAAAAAGGTTAAGATATTAAAGACAGTGAAGGTTTTGAAGAAGCCGAAAACAGATACTCCTAAAACCAAATGAAAACCAGAGGAACTTATGTACCAAGGGTGTATGCTTTCCAAGGCCGCAGTGTGGCTGAGCTTAAAGGATTACTATAGTGTCAGGAAAACAAAGCGGTTTTCCTGACACTATAGTGCCCTGAAGACAGCCACTAGAGGCTGGATTAACCCCAAATGTAAACATAGCAGTTTCTCTGAAACTACTATGTTTACATCTGAAGGGTTAAAACCTGGGGGACCTGGCACCCGGACCACTTCATTGAGCTGAAGTGGTCTGGGTAACTATAGTGTCCCTTTAATGTGAGTGCATGCTTTACAAGACCAGAGTGTATCTGAGCTTAATTTAAGTGCATGCTTTACAGGACCAGAGTGTGGCTGAGCTTAATTTAAGTGCATGCTTTACAAGACCAGAGTGTGGCTGAGCTTAATTTAAGTGCATGCTTTACAAGACCAGAGTGTGGCTGAGCTTAATTTAAGTGCATGCTTTACAGGGGCAGAGTGTGTATGAGTTTAATGATAGTGCGCACTTCCGAGGGTGCTTGACCTTATGGAGTGTACGCTTTATAAGGGTGTGAGCATGACTGAGTTTACTCAGAGTTCACACTGTACAGGGACTGGAATGTAGCTAAGCTAACACAGGGGCTTAAAGGACCACTATAGTGCCAGGAAACATACTCGTTTTCCTGGCACTATAGTGCCCTAAGGGTGCCCCCACCCTCGGGGTCCCCCTCCCGCCGGGCTCTGGGGAGAGGAAGGGGTAAAACACTTATCTTTCTCCAGTGCCAGGCGGGGAGCTTTCCTCCTCCTCTCCTCCTTCATTGCGACATCATCGTCTGAATGCGCATGCGTGGCAAGAGCCGCACGCGCATTCAGCCAGTCTCATAGTAAATATGTATATACGTATAGCAATAGACCACCCAAGTGCAGCAATATAGAATAAATTAAGAAAGATAATTAGCTTTCCTTACATTCTAGAGTGTAACAAAGGTTCCTCAAATCCTCACAAATAGCCAAAAAATACAAGTTACACCTAGAAAAAATAAAAGCAGAGAACATACATAGTGTAACACCATAAAATGAAGTAATCACTGCTTAATGAATTGCACTCACAGGATAGAAGTAAATTTCAAGCCCATCAAATTCTCTCAGGGGTTCTGGGTAAATGGTTCCTTGTGGATCAGATGTATATGCAAAAGGAAAAAATGGACATAGTATAGGACTGTATAATGTAGTAAAAGATAATTTATTGGAAACACTTACAAAAAGTAAGGAGTTAAAACGCCCATCAGATAACCTGGTCGCTCCTTCCAGTTGATAAAATAGGAACAGTAAATCACAGGAATCACAGGCAATAAGAATAATAAATAGCTCTAGCTCTACGCGTTTCGTCTATATCAATAGACTTCCTCAGGAGCAATTTAATCAAAAGCTAACATTTAACAATCAAAAAAAAAAAAGAAAAAAGAATGCAATGCATTCATAATGTTTTCCTATGGATGCTGGCGTCTTCTCACTGTGATTTTCACAATGAGAAGTACGCAAGCGCTTCTAGCGGCGGTCAATGAGACAGCCACTAGAGGCTTTAGAGGCTGGATTAACCCTCGGTGTAAACATAGCAGTTTCTCTGAAACTGCTATGTTTACAGCAAAAAGGGTTAAACCTAGCTGGACCTGGCACCCAGACCATTTTATTAAGCTGAAGTGGCCTGGGTGCCTATAGTGGTCCTTTAGGAGTGGATGCTTTAACCTCTATACCAGTGGTTCCCAACCCAATCCCCAAGTACCCCCTACCAGTTTAGGATTTAGGGATTACCCAGTTGTGTCTAAGGTGTTTTTAGAAAAAGGGAAAAAAGAACTTTAGACACAACAGGGTAATCCCTAAATCCTGGACTGGTAGGCAGGGGCGTACCTAGAGCATTTGGCACCCGGGGCGGATCCTGTGCTTGGCACCCCCCCCCACCCAAAAAAAAAAAACCTGTAAAAAATGTTAAAGGTTTTCTTTCTTTATTTTTACAATTTGTAAACTTTGCAAAACCGCTGTCAGCCCCTCCTACAAAACCCTTGTCCTGCCCTGCCCCTCCTACAAAACCTCTGTCCTGCCCCTTCTACAAATCCTGTACTGCCCCGTCTACAAAACCCCCGCAACCCCCTTCCACAAATCCCCTGCTTATCCCCCCTTATAAAGACTCCTGTCCCAATACAAAACCCCGCCCCCTTCTACAAAATCCCTGCAGCCCCACACACACATTTACAGGCAGACAGTCACACACTCAGTTACAGGCAGACAGTCACACACAGTCACAGGCAGACAGTCACACATGCACATTTCCTCCATGCAGTCAGTTTATCAGCTGTTTGCTTGTGTGAGCCGTACTGACCGCACGGCACCCTAACTACCATGGGACACTGTGCGGCCACAGCTCACACAGCCCCCTCCAGCCAGGGGCGGCTGCAGCATGGGGGGGGGGCGGCGGGGCTGGCCATGGCACCCCCCACCCTGGTGGCACCCGGGGCGGACCGCCCCCTCCGCCCCCCCCTTAGTACGCCACTGCTGGTAGGGGGTACTTGAGGACTGGGTTGGGAACCCCTGTTCTAGACTGTAGGCTCAATTGTGCAGGGCCCTCTTCAACCTATTGTTCCTGTAAGTTTTTGTAATCATCTCATTTATTGTTAAATATCCCCCTCTTATAATATTGTAAAGTTCTACAGAATATGTTGGCATTATATAAATGCCAATAATTATATTAATAATGAGTAAAATAAATTGGTTATTTTGAGGGTAAACTCAAAACTCAAACTCAAAGTGTTGTACACAGTTTAGCCACTAGATGCTGCCAAATGATAACTTTTTTCTTTTTTAAGTAAAATGCATTACAAATTGATTAAACAGGAAAAAAGTTTATAACTAAAATAAAAAATAAAAAACCCTTTAAATAAATAAAAGCAGCTTACTCAGTGTCCAGGCTGCTTTAGTGTCAGGCACCCACTTTTGGAGGCATTTTAGGGGTGTCAGTGCAGGCAGGATCTGAGGGCGATCTTTAAATCTTATTTAAATTAAAATAAGACAGCCACTGCTTCGTGTGGTGCCTGGATAAACAGATAAAGGATAGAAATTAAATGTGGTACCGGTCTTTGGATGATGGGAGTTAAGGTGACAGAAACCTCCTGTCCAAGTGGTTCCTGGCCCTGTGTGCTTAGAGAAATACTTCAGTTGGTCTATCCTTTTTAGAATGCACAGAGAGGGAGCCGACCGGGGAGATAGTGAGCTTGGCAGCAGGCACCTGATGTTAAAGCGGTGCCTGCCACCAGTCTTCGTGCCAGAATGCAGCCTGATGCTGCTGTGAGCGAGGCAGCCCTGGCAGTGGCAGGCACTTGATTCTAAAGCAGTGTCTGCCACCATGCCAAGTTCTGAACCAAGCTGTGTGAGCACAAGGTTCTAGTGATCAGAGGGTGGGAGCCGACAGCGCAGAGAGATATCAGGGACAAGTACAAGTACCCCAGTATGCAAAGTATAACATCAGTAATTAAACATGTTACCAGGACTTCACGTTAAACAGATAGGTAGAATCGTTAGGACTAGCCAGAATCAAGGGAAACCATAAATCAGGTAGACGATAAGACAAAGCCAGGGGTGGGATACCAGAATACAGAATGTTTAAGTGGAATTCAGAACAATATAAACACGCTATTTGGTCAAGGAGAAACTACAAAAAGTCACTGTTCACATAAAAATGTGCTGTTTATGGGCTGGGGGCATAATGCCATAACTAGGTCTCCAAAACATCAGGTGGTGGTAAGAGATCTTTACCTGGTTTGGGGATTTCTGTAATAGTAGCCTACAAAATAGATAAATGTAAGTAGTGATGTCGCGAACCGTTCGCAAACTTCCCAACATGGATGCTGTCCAGGAGGTGGGAGGGTCTGGGAGGGAGGGTCTGCTGGAGATTGGCCGGGATGTGTCAGCTGACCGGAGCTCTCCACAAACGGTTCGCAGCGAACCGCGGCGAGCCGTTCGCGGGAAGTTCGCGAACGGTTCGCGACATCTCTAAATGTAAGTGATATCAAGCAAAAAGGGAATTAAAGGAACACTACAGCATTAGGAATTCAAACTAAATGGTGTTGTAGTCACCGTTTAGCTTGGGGAAAATTTGTCTACAGTAGAAAGCTTTTCATGGGCCTGAGAGACATGTGTTGGGATACTAAAATCTTAATTTTATGAGTATATAGGTTGAGATAGACTGAGTCAGGTCTCGAGGGACTTGTCTAAGATTATATAATGAGTAATAATAACCTTGGAAAGCATTGACTATATCTAAAATTGTATAAACTATAGTATTACTTTTAATCTGAGAGATATATGATTGTTGATGTCTTTGGGCCAGGGCGTTAGCCAACAGCTTACCACACCTAGCCCCGTGTAAAATGTTTGTCTAGTCATAAAAATATTATTCTTGGCTTTAAAGCTTAGGCGAATCTTAAGTTCTGCCCCAATAGCAAGTAATTAATGGAAGTGAGCATATGAAAGAGAGCTTTATTAGCATTCTTCAGTAATGTAATTTCTCTAAGAAGTTTCTGAGCGTGTTATAAGTGGAGCATCCCATTTAACAAGATCTCCTTGAAGTATGCATTTATGGACTTCCCAATGTGTAAAGGTGTAGTATCTGTGCTGTTATTAAGCAAAATATATTGTTGTATACTTGTGCCATATTTTATAATCAATAGCATTTATCTCAGGCCTGATTTCTTCTTTTAGAGGGATGCCCAATTAAGAGAAAAGAAACCAAAGGTTGTGTTATTAGAGGAAAAGCTTGGTTACTTATTCAGAGTTTTCCTTGGAAATGCATGGATGTAAGGGTACCCGGTTTTCAGGGCCGGTGCAAGGATTTTTGCCGCCCTAGGCAAAAGAAAGATTTGTCGCCCCTCCCCCCCGGGACCTCGCAATGCCCCACCCATATGATCTGCCATATGAACTAGTGCCAGTGCTGCACACAGTGTGTTTTTACATTAAAAAGCCTGCAGGGACAAACTATAGACACCAGAACAACTTTATTAAGCTGCAGTGGTTCTGGGGACTATAGTGTCCATTTAATGTGAGGTAAATTAGAGATTACTGTCACTAATAATATACTAGATTGCCTACTTACAACCAGATGAGGATGATGATGGGCTCCAGCTGCCGTCTGGCTCCACTGGTCTGGTGTAGAACAGGCTCTCTGGAGGTGGTTTGTAACTGTGGTCACAAAAATCAATGTTCTGGGAGAACCGGAAGCAGCTCCATTTTTTGAGGGCCCTTTACACAGCTCAAGGTCTGGGTCCCAGGGTCCACCTTCATGTTCCACCAATGAGTTTGTTCCCAGGGGGTGGATGTCCTGATGTGTGTAAGGAATGCATTGTGTGAATTTGTGTTTGTATGTGTAAGGGCTGCAAGGTGAGTTTCTTCTCCCCCTCCCTCTCCCTCCAATTTCCTTCTTCTCCTCCCATCCAATTTCCTTCTTCTCCCCCCTCCAATTTCTTTCTTCTCCCCCTCC